AAAACATCTGAGAGGCTTGAAGGAGACGTGTGTGAAGCCTAATGTGGCATCTGACGGGGACGTCCAGCCAGTGACAGCTAGTGTTTTAAAGCTGCTCACTTCAAGAGGAAAGCATTCGATCCTGGAGTGCTTTGAAATAATTTTTAAATGCCTGGTGGTGTGCTTCACGGAGACGGCGTGCCACAAAATGTCACGGCTGCTGCGTGTTTGGGGGAGAAACCCAACTCGGTTCTAGTTATTGAGTTTATTTGTGAGCTGCCCCCTTTTTATTACAGGGTGGTTTTCGTGTGCCTTTGAGAATACCTAAAATATGACAAAATAGCATGAGTTACACACAGGGCAGCAGAAAGGAAGCAGTGAGGGGACAAGGCAAGGCCGGGAATTCGGTCAGGGCCAACGACGAGGTCTGCCCGCCCCCTAGTGAATGGCACAAAGTTGGCTGAGAACTTTGCAGTACGGGGAAAAGGGAAATCTACTCAGTTGCACAGTTAACACCCTTTGGGAGCTAAAATCTGACAAACTTATGGGAGAATTTAGGTATTCTTGGTATAAAGAGCTCACAAGATCCTAGGGGGACATGGACATCAATGTTGTCATTTATCATCAGTTGACAACAATTCAGCCGGGGAAATTCTGCTCTCCAGTCCCTCAGAGGATGCCACCGTAACTAGCCAGTGTGTCCTATAGTCGCACAGTTACCCTGTCGGCCACAAAACTTTAAACACTGTATCCATTTTGAGCAATAACCTTTCAAAATTCAGTTACAAAAAAGCAAACTACTGATGCACTCAACAACGTGGGTGTCTCCAAAAAACACTATGCTGATATCCTAGTTGTAGGTCATTCTAATTCGTCTACGTGAGACGCCGCCACAGTGTGGCTTGATAAGTGGTGTGTAGGTCTGTGTCCCGGATCTGAACCAGCAAACCCTAGGTCTGCCAAAGCAGAGCACACGACTTAACCACGTGCCACCAGGTCAGCCCATGAGAGGGGTTTTAACTGTGTGGGGCAACATGACCATTAGCCTCCGAATTACTGTGGTGTTTGTTAAGATGTCCTGGCTCTACCTCAGACGTATTAGATGGGAATCTCTCATGCTGAGACACAGGAATTCACGTTTGTACAAAGTTCCCAAAGTGGTTCTCCCGGACTCTGAGGTTGGAGATTCATTGGCTCACTGGGTGTTTGCACAAGCCTGGTCTCGTAAACGCTCTCAAGGGTGTTGTCGTCCATACTTTACAAATTAGGAAACATGACAGTTAACAAGGCTCAGGCGTCTGTCCTGGACGACACGGCTGGCAGGAGACTGAACTGCAACTCGAAACGGGCTGCTAAGGATCCCTCTCCAGCGGTTTGTTCTGCCAAGTTACAACCACCATCGGAGGACAGCTTTACGGAGTTTAAACCACTGATGACCAGCTAACAATGATCAATCCCACCCTCTGAAACACTCCAACAATGAGCTTATCGCATGAATTATTTGGGAAATGGCTGTGCACATTCAATCGCTTAATCTCTGTTGCTGGAATGCCTGGAGGCATCTTCCAAGACCTATACATCCTCCTGAGCCACTTGTCAGGCATCCGCCCAACAGCGCCCAGATCACCCTTGTTCACACCACAGGGTGGGGACACTGGCCACCAGCAAAGTGGAGTCTCGAAGGAAGGTCTTTAATGCCCCGTCGATGATCTCCCAAGGACTGAGCACAGTGAACTCTTCTTTATAAAAACAGACGTAAGGGGCCGGCCCAGTGGCATAAGTGGTTGGGTTCACGTGCTCCACTTTGGCAGCCCAGGGTTCGCAGGTTCGGATCCCGGGCACAGACCTAAACACTGCTCATCAAGCCATGCTGTGGCAAGCATCCCACATACAAAATAGAGGAAGATGGGCACAGATGTTAGCTCAGGGCCAATCTTCCTCACCAAAAACCAAATAAATAAATAAAAACATTTAATTTCATTTGTCTGAAGAGGTTTAAAAAAATCCTCCTTTCTCACTGGGTGAGAATATTAGACTTCTGTGACTTTTCCCGCATCCTTCATTTGCCCCAATTTTTATTACGAGATTCATCACCTCAGTTGGAAAAGCCCATGTGTTTTGTGCCATTACATCTAATTGAAAAGATGCCAAAGGCCAAGAAAATCATTCTAGTTTATTATCAAAATCCCAGAACTCAGCAGGGAAAAAAGTCAAAGCTACAGGAAAGTTCAGACCTCATTATATTTTCGCAGAAGAAAATGCTGTGAAAGAAACTATGAAAGACAGCAAGTGCAGGTCCGTGAGCTTCTCTCAGCACTCTTAGCTCAAGAATACTCTGTCAGCAACATTCTTGCCCACCCTCATGAAAAATAAAGATTTAAAGAGGGGAAAAATTATTTTTTTAAAGAATCCTTACAAATTAGCAATAATACTTGCACCCCTACTCACGCTGAGTGCAAACTGAAAAGACAAATGCTTGGGTCTACAAATGTTTCCTCGAACTCTCCATTCGCAGGAGGTTAACTGAGTCTGAGACTCGGAGGGGGGCTGGGTGTGACGAGACCACCGGGTTTCCAGCTGATGAAGCATGAGATGCCCACAAGAACACGCCCTCTCCTCACCGTGTCAGCAGTGGTCCAGACCCAAAGGCACATCCAGTCAAGATTGCCATCTGCCTTCTCACCCATCAGGGCCACACCTTGCACATCGTCCCAGAACCGTTTCTCTCCAGGGTTTCAGGCCATCTCTCCATCGTGTGCATGAGACCTCCTCAGTCTGGAAAGGATCCGGGTGCTGTGAACTGCTGGGGCACTGGTGCTGGGGCCCTAACCCATCCCTCGCTGCCCTGCTGCATCTCAGACCCACGCAGGTCTCTCCCAGAAAGCAGCTGCCACTGGAGAGTCCACACGAGGCAGTGGATCAGAATGAGGACCACTGGAAACCTTGTCTGCAGTGACCTGTGTTTAACACACTCATGCAACTCCAACCCCGAACGTAAACACAGAGCGCACAGCGGACAGGCTCTGGAGGAGCTCCTCCCTCTGCCCGGATAGGCGCTGAAGTGCAGGCACCTCCCGGGTTCACACGGAAGCAGAGTCCGCTGCTGCCCCAAAGCATAGATGCGCGGTCTCCACTCCTCTGGTTCTGCGAAGAGGAGATGTCTGAGGGTCGTATTCCTGGTCTCCCTCTGCAGCCTCCCTGTGCCTTCGCCCCAGGGGAGGAGGGGTGAGTAACTGAGCCGTGCTGTGGGAGGAGCCCCTTTCCTGCACGCTCTGGTTCTCTCTTTGGGATCTGCCCCTGTGAGGAGCAGGCATTCTTCACGCCCACTGTTCTGTGCCGGGTCCTGATTTACAAAGGTGACCGAGAAATCAATGCCACTGAAAGAGAAGTTCCATGTTGCTCACAGTTCCCCTAGAAACGAGAGGCACAGCTCACCAAGCAGGGCCAGGAGCGGGGGTTGGGGGGACACCCCAGTTTGTTCAGGAGGCAGAAGACAGGAGTTGGGGAGTGCCTAGGCTATGGCCTTTCCCGGGGTTCCCACGGGAAGGCAGGCCGGGCTGGGGAGCACTCAGACTGGCCGGCTTGAATAATTTCCTTGGGGTCTGGGTGATTGGGGTGGTCCTGGCTGCCTGGCACCTGGCCCTGGATGATGAAGGCAGAGGAATCTTGCCTCCTGGGTACAAGGGAGATGGAGGGGCCGGCTCTGGGTTGTCAGTGGGCATGTCGCAGGCTGGGCCGTCTGCTGTCTCTGAGGATCGGCCAGCTGTGAAGGGCAGTCTCTCCCAGCCAGAGGGTTTTTTAAGATGTCAGAACATCATGATATACTGAAAATAAAAATACATACAACACAGCCACTCATGTGGATTTGCAGGCCCGGTCTCCTCAGCAGAGGCTTGCAGAGTGTGATGTCGCTTGTGACCTGACTCAAGTGGCATGCACGAGCCCACCTGGCAAATCACCCTAAACCCCCCTGTCTTACCCTGCCTGTGCTGGTAACAAGAGGGGACCTCGGTCTCTGTCTGTCTGATGATGGTGCCTAGTTCTCAATTTATTCTGAACTGTGGGGTGGGGCAGGCAGCAGGAGGAAATGGGCCTTAGCTCCCTCAGGCCCAAACTGGACGCACTTCTGGATTTTAGTGGGATGCAGTGTTGCTCACAAGAGGGGAAAGGAGCCCCGGGAAAGCCCGTGAATGCGCCCTGATGCTGTCACCTGACGTGCCGTCAGCCCCTCCAAACCCTCTCCAGGGGGAGACGGGGGTGGAACAGACAGCTGTGATAACCGCATTTTTTGGTGTCTCTGGTGTACGATGTTTGACATCTTAAGAAGTTTGCTGGCTCAGGAGAGACTGTGGCTCTCAAGGCTAAGGAGCTCTAAGAGACAGCGAAGGGCTTGGAGCGCATCTCTCAGAAAAACCCAACCCACGCCCAGCAGAGACCCCCACCCCATGCCGAATCTAACCTCAGCCACCAGCCAACACCGCCCCACCTAACTCCGGGGTCCTGACAGCGCCAAGCCCCCAGGACCATTCACAGCAGCCGAAGCCAGCTGCTCACCCTGCTCTGCCTTGCCTTTCCCACAGAAATCCCAGGAAAGGCGTGGGCCTGGCTGTCCCCTGGCTCCCACTCCTGCATCCCTGACCGTCACTCGGGCTCCCCCCGAGGCCTGCCTGTGTGCACTGATCCCTCAGGGACTTGTGAGTAGAATTAACTTCCTCCCTCCCAGCCGCGTTCCCGTCTCCTCCTGCGGCCACACAACTACGCTGCACCGTGTCCACGCTTACAGCACCGGCCTCTCCAGGAGGCAGCGCAGCCCCGGCCACCACCACCTGCTGGCGAGGGGATGGGGAGAGTGGGAGGGAGAGGGCAGAGGCATCCATGCGTCTTTAGGGGGAGGAAGGGACGCCCTGCCTCAGCACTGTAGCTGTAAGGACCCTCCAGAGTCACCACCCCGGCCTCGTGCGCAGCGCGGGAACCTCCCCAGCCCCCGTGAGCCCATTTCCGAGAACACAGGTTAGGAGCACTGGCATTCCAACGATTTATTTCATCTTGGCATAAACGGACAGACATATGAGGTTTTACAGTATTTGTGCCTGGGACTTAAAACCTGAACCATTAATAAATACATTAACCGCATAGACAGCATCGGCCGGCCTGGTGTGCGCCTGAAACAGGAAGGTTCGTCTTAGAGAAACGGCAACACTGCAGGGCTGTCTTACAGCTTTAAAAAGCTTCAGAGGAGCTTTAACCTCACAGGAGGACACAGCTAGCTTTTTATTTCAATCCATTTCAAACCGACTCACTAAGCATGGAGAGAGCCTGCCTTTGCCAGCTCCTGCCTGGAAAGCAGGAGCGGTGTGGTCCAGGCATCGGCCTAGGGGTGGACAAGGTGTAGAGAAAGCAGCTTCTGACAAATTCAGATGCAACCAAAACACGTGCACGTCTCCATTTTTAGCTCTCATATCTTTTCACAAATAATACTGCAGAGGAAAGGGGGAAAATAAGAACGCTGATTTTTTTAAACACCAAAATAAGACATTTTATAAACTAGGAAAGCATCTAAAATAAGACAGAACACAAAACAGCACTTTTGTTTGCATTTGCCCCATAAAGCTGTTACAACAGATGATGTCCTAAAACTTTCTTGACTTTAAGAAAAGGCAAAAAGACCTCGGACACATTCCATTTCAAAATCTGCTACAGGAAGTTACCCAAGAAACCAACAGATTACACAGCTGCCACCAGAATTATGAAGGTGACACCAGAAGTTAACAGAAATGGAGCAGAGGATTCATTTCTTACTTAAGTATTTGTAGCAAAATGGTTACAGGTAAGAGATTTAACTAAGTAGCAAAAGAATTTCCACAGGACACATTCTCTCAAAGGAAAAGTTGCCACCATCACTCAGAAATCAAATAAGTTCCAAACCCAGCTCCACAAAGTCGCCAAGAGTCCGCGCTAGTGTGGGGGTTGTTCCCAAGACCAGGAATAAAAACAGAAAGAAAATCAAGACATCTTAAGCCCCTTCCTTTGGGTTCCAAATGAACCCTGATTGACAGTACAAAAGTCATTGTTTGTCAACTAACCAAAAGATCAAGCTTTTGTGCATACCAGTTTCCCCTGAAAATGTCACTGGTTCTTTCCAGTATTTGGAAATGTCACTGTGCGTGGGTTGCCTAATTTTATAAGAATTATGGATGGATGTCATAAATGCATTAGCTTCATTTGACTCTTGACTGATCGATGACCAGGAATATTTTGCACCAACTGATTTTCTGAATAGTATCAGACTTAGAACATCACATTGAATACGAAAAGATCCTTCTCAGAACATCAGACCTTGGGGCGAGTCTCAGCAATGCCTGCCTCTCCCCTCCCCCCCAGCACTCCTCCAAACCAACTGCCGTGAAGGAGGTGCCTTTTCTGTTTAATTGATGTAAACCCTTCTGGCTCAACGCCCCCGGTACTGGCCCCAAAAAGAAAAATAAAGTGGTCCTCATGGCATGCCAGGTCCCCTGGTGTTTGTTTTTATGTGATCTTACTACTTAGAAATATGATCTCTAATAGCCTACATCCTTTCACTTATCCTGAGGTTCCCTGTGTATTTCATTTGACAAATCCCTGGGACTTGGAACCCAGTTCCCAGAGGAAGTGATGCTATGTCTGGCACAGGCATTCTTTTATCAAATTAAATGATAAAATAATATACAAAAACTCCAGCTGGGCGTTGCTGGTGTGTGGCTGTCCACACCTGACATCAATATTTCTCTTAGGGGAACCATTTTACTTTGGAAACCCACTTTCAGGATTTTAAACGATAAACATCAGAGGAACGACTCCTCAAGTAAGTCAACAGTGATAACAGTTCACGGATTTGAAATGTAAGGAATGAAAATATTAGTCTGGTCCTATTTCATACAAATGTTTTGGCATAAATAATAAAATTCTAGAGAAAGATGTACTACAACATGAAATGTACATTTCTTTAAAAGAACATGATTTGTTTCCTTTTGCTGTAAGTTTTTTTCTACCACCATTTCCCAGTCTACTGCAATAAATGGCCAATAAAGTCAGGCACTATGAAGTCTGTTTTTCTTTCCCAAGATGATTAACCAAGTTGCCAAGATATCCCTCAGTTCATGAGCAAGCACACAAGTCCCCAGAACACACTGCAACTGAAACCGTGAATGCCATTCCTCTGGCACATGCATAAGATTCAAGCTGATCATTTCTAAACATACTTGTCTTATAACTTTCATAACCACAGACTCTTCAAAAAGCATAAGCTATTTCCCAATTACCCACTGATTGCTACAGATATCAACTCCTACCACTGGGTTAACAAGTAAGTAACAGTAACGTATGTATGATTTCATCTAATTATGTTCCAGGAACTTTCAATGTCTACTTTTCTTCTTATAATCAAAAAATGGATTGGATTCAGAGTCCAAATTAGTTTGCCTGTATTTGTGAGCATATATTTTATCCTTAAACTCAATATACAGTGAACCCTGTCTATACATGTTTGGAAAGTAAAATGCTATAACAAATGAGGAAAGATTAATCAATTTGTTTTTAATCCTTGCGTCCTGTCAAAGTCATGAGTTTCATGTTAATTCTATCAGAGCATTTTGGAATTCACAATTGGAAAAATGTATTTTACTTGCTAAACTACATTATAAATATATGTTATTTCCCCTTATGTCAATATGCTCATTGTCACTCTGCCACATTTTCTTAGAATGATGCTTGTAAAAATTAATTTTCCTCACTGGAATTACATAATACATATTTAAAACATCATAAGTCATGGGTTCAAAATGGGCCTGCATGTTTGTCTTTAGAACTGTCAGAAAAAGTGATTTTAACCTTCTTTTTTTTTTTTTTAGAATAATACTCTCTTTCAACCCATTATAAAATGTGGACATGGCTGAGCAGATACAGCGGCTATCAAAGGTTCCTTTTACAATAGACAAGCTCCCTTGCGGGTCGGCTTTCCAATTCGTGACATGTTCTTTGGTAAACATTTAGTCACCAAAGACTTAAAATTCAAATAGTCAATCATTACTATATCATTGAATATAATTATTAACATCCTTTAACTTGAAAAATGTTAAACACCCATCTCAGTTACACAGTGAGATGGAACTGCTCCAGAGGGGGCTGGGGGGTGTGCGCTCCCCCATTCATGGTATCTATGGCACCACAGAGGAAATACCTCCCACGCTACTGGACGGGAGATCATATTGGTAATCAAAGATTTTGTCTTTAATGCTTATTGAGTTTGGAGTTGAGCCAACCAAACCCTGAACACGTGGTGGCGTGAACTTTCAAACTAAGTTAGAAAGGTTTTAAGAGCTTCACTTGTTAGTTATAATTCTAAACTTCAAGCCAAAAAAGTGTGGCCTTCTTTCAGTGGTCCCACCAGTAGAGTTCACATCGGCCTACTTTAGGGTCCCCACTCTGGCTTGGTGGCCCGAGCTGTCCCCGGGCCTTCTCATCACGCAGCAAGCTGCCAGAGTTCAAGTCTGGGCTCCTCTCCACTCCACTCCCGGCGTTCGTGCACGCCAGGTACACCTGAGCACGCCCAGGTAAACCCTGGGTACACCCTCAATACATCCTGGGCGCACCGCGGTTCACTCCGGGCCCCACCCACTGTTCCTTGAAGCTTAATCTTTTGATTCCATCGCCTTCTCCCTCAGATATCCTGTGTCTTATCTGTAAAGTTATCTATTTGAGCACATCCTACATCTCACGCCACCGACCCCATTAAGCAAAGCGAAGCAGAAAGGAATGCAGAATAGGGAAGCCGACCTTAGCACAGCATGGCAGAAAGTCTTCAAGGCCCCAAGACAGGCTTCTACCTTCAAAGCGTTTAACCCATCCTCGCGGCCAGCGGCCCACTCGCCCACCTCCCCTCCCTTCCTCCGCTCCCTTCGCCCCTTCCCAGCTGGGACCTCAGCCCAAGGGAAGCTCCTCGTCCCAGGGCTGCCCAAGGAGACGCCCAGGTGGCCTGGGCCCGCCCTACGCGGCACCCTCCTCGCCTCTGTCCGGCTTCTCCGGCAAGTTGAGGACGAAAGGGAAGAGCACGCCCCGGGCGTCCCAAGGGGCTCGCAGGGACTCGGGCTCGAAGCTGCCGCCGGCGCCCGCGTCCGCGCCGGGCTCGCCGTCCTGCGGGGGCACGAAGCGCCAGGTGCCGGCGCGGCCCACGCAGTAGATGGTGCCGTCCAGGGCGGCGCAGCGGAAGGGCTGCAGGCCGGACGGCGCGCCCGGGGGCCGCAGGTGCGAGGCGCAGCGGCTCCACTGCTTGGCCAGGCAGTGGTAGCGGAGCACGCTGACCCCTCCGGGCCCGGCCGCCGCCTGCGCGTCGCCGCGGGCCCCGCAGAGGTCGAAGCGGTAGATGAAGCCGTCCAGGGCCACCATGTCGGCCGAGCGCTCGCGGCTGCTGCTGCACGGGCACTCCTGCCACTCGTCGCGCCGCGGGTCGTACTTGAGCAGGCGGTAGAAGAGCGAGCCCCCGGACACGTAGATCTCGCCGTTGCAGGTGGTGGCCTCGTGCGCCACGGCGAAGGCGCCCCGGGGCAGCGGGGCCACGGCGGCCCAGCGGTCGGCGCGCGGGTCATAGCGCTCCACGCTGAGCAGGCACTCGCCGCCCACGGCGTACAGGTGGCCGTCCAGGGCCAGCAGCTGCAGCTGCGAGCGCGCCTGGCGCAGCGGCCGCACGGTGCTCCAGCGGTCGGTGGCCGGGTTGTAGCAGAAGACCTGGTCGGATGGGCGCGCGCGGCCGTCGGGCCCCGGGGGCCCCACGCCTCCGGCCACGAAGAGGTAGTTGTAGAGGACACACAGGCCGCAGCCCCGTGCCGGTGCGCCCTCGGGCAGCCGCGTCAGCTCGCGCCACTCGCCGGCCGCCTCGTGGAGGCAGTAGACGGCGGCCTCGCCGCGGGCCTCCGCCTCCCCCGACGGGCTCTGCGGCCGGCTGCCCGCGCGCTCCCCGGCCGGCCCCAGGGCGGCGGCCAGCAGGCGGGCGCGGCCGGCGCGCAGGCGGCGGCGCAGCAGCAGGTCGCGCTCGGCGCCCGACAGGCGCCCGAAGACGGCGGGCTCGCGCAGCACCTCCAGGTAGTGGTCACTCATGAAGCGGTAGGCGGCGTCGCGCAGCTCGGCCAGCCGCTGCCGCTTGGCCGCGCTCAGCACCTCGTAGCAGTTGGCCAGGCTCAGCTGCGGCGCCACGGCGTCGGTGGCGCGCTGCGCGGCGCAGGGCAGCTGCAGGCGGCGCGCGCCGGCCACCACCTCGGCCACGTTTTCGGGCCGCACGCCCGCCATGCGCCCGCTGTACGCGTAGGCCAGCAGCAGCCGCAGCGCCGCCCAACCCACGCCCTGCACCCGCAGCACGTCCCGCGACGCGCGCGCGCGGAAGTAGTCGCTGCGCGCCGCCAGCACCGCCTTGTGCGCCCGCAGCCGGCGGCCCGACACCTCGATGACCAGGTCGGGCTCCCCGTGCTCGGGCCCGACGCCGGGAGGCAGAGGCGCGGGGTCCCCGGGCTCCTCGGGGGGCGCGGGGTCTTCCGGGGACGCGCGCTCCTCGGGGGACGCGGGCTCCTCCAGGGACACGGACTCTTCCGGGGACGCGGGCTCCTCGGGGTATCTGCGCTCTTCCAGGGACGCGGGCTCTTCCGGCGACGCGCGCTCCGCCGGGGACCCGGCGCCCGCGCTGCCGACTTCCCACTGCGTCTCCACCACCCGCTGGCCGCTGCGACACGAGGGCGGGGAGGTCGCTGCGCCCTCCGCCGCGGAGGCGCGAGACTGCGGCGGGGACTCGTCCCCGGAGCTGAAGCACAGGGACGCGCTGAGACTGCAGGGTGTCTGCGCCGGGGACGCGGCGCCCTCCCCCCCGGCCGCGTCCGGCGGCTGCAGGCTGCCCTCTCCCGGAGCCTCGGCAGCGCCGCTCCGGTCCCCGGGCTGGCCGCACGCTCCATGCGCAAAGCCGTCCCCGGGCTCAGCCCCGCGGCCGTGGTCGTCCCCTGGGTAGAGGACGCAGGGGGCCACCGGGTTCTCCATGGGCGCGCTTCCTCTCGCCGCCGCCCCGCGCCCGCCTCCCGCTCAGCAGCCCACCATGACTTCGCCCTGAATGGGCTGCTCAAGGTCGCTGGTTCCTCTGGGCTTCTCCTGGCGCGCGATCACATTTCACTTCTGGGTCCACACTTTTTTTTTTTTTTTTTTTGCTCACTTGCCGCTCCCTCTCGCCCTTCCCACTCTCCCCTGCTGCAAAGAGGGGTGTGCACTCTCGACGCTCTCTCCGCTGAACTTCTGAACCGCAGTCACGTTACCACCGGCTAGCTGTGTGCCCGTGTCTCTGTGGCTCAGTCTTCATGCCGGGTGCTGATGCTTTAGTCAGTGCACAGGTCTGTGCTGGAGCCCCAGTTGCTGCTGTCTGTCGTTCCCTCTCTGCAGAACTGAGCTATGGGGCACCTCTAACAAACAGGGCAAGCCCTTTCTCTCCGAGGGTCAGTGTTTACCACTTTCCATTCCATCACATCACTGCCACCAGGACCAACAAATCTGAGACAGGCTGCGGTCACCGCGTCAGAACCTGGATGTTTAACTCCGTTTTTTTGTAAACAGCCACCCCAGGGAGCTTTACTATTTTGGGGCTCTCGTTTGCAATGAAGGTTTGTGAATGGTCAGCTGGAGAGTACTGGTCTGTGTTCTGACATCAGCAGCTCTCCTGATGTGTCTGCGTCCACACTGTTCACCTGGGGGGAGTCCATAATCCATGTGCCAGGTGCGTGCTAGAAAAACACAGTGGCTGCGGGGTTAGGGGCCTTCCTCATTATCAATCCAGAGGCTTCCTCTGCGACTTCCTTTGCTGGGATGTCAGGTGTTTCCATATCAGTTCCCCACACTCTTCTTGTTCCTGTTTGTGGGAGAAAGAGAGAGGATGTTTGAATGTGCATTTTCCAGGAGGGTCCTTTTGTCCGTGGACCCTACCACACTTCCCTGCATGACTTTCAGGTTATAGGATTCACATTTGGTGGGAAGAGGGGTTGGGACTTTGGCCTGCTGGCTGGAGAGTTTGGTGAATAGGATAGACAGTTATTTAGGTATTTGAACAGTTCCTCCTCTGATTTTGAGGCCTATGAAGGAGAACCCAATTGAGGCAATGGCCTTTAAAGACATGGGGTTGAACCCTACAAGATTGCTGGTTTTGTGGGTCAAAAGCAGTCAAATGGCAACAGTTTCCTGTGTTCAACCTAATGAGACGTATGTGTAAAATTATGATCTTTGAGTGAGAACGCATGACTGGCCTATGCAATCATTAATTTTATTAACATGGGACAGTTTCCCTGCAGTCTTTTCCGGTCAATTATCTCAAATTCAGTCATAACAAATATTTGGAGAAAGGTGCTGAGGGCACTTCTGGGGTTGGCCCCAGAGGCTCCAACTCCGAAATCTGTTTAACTGCGTATTCTTGGAATTATGTCTCTGAAAAACCTCAGAGAAACAATTCTCCATATAGCCCACATGCAGCAAAGAAAAGCCAAAGCAAAACAAAACAAAACAAAAACCTGAAGTCCTTGGAAGGCAGATATGAGCAGCTGCAGATGACTTATAAAATAATAAGATAGCTTTGCTAAATTGTCGAAACCTTCACTGAGACTCCCTAGCCTGACAGGGTCTTACAGAGAATGGAAGGGGAGAGCCGGCTGTGTTCTCGCTCTCCAAGGAAGAGAATGCGGGCAAGAAAAACAGTCCAAATACAGCTCATGCTCATTGTTACTATGTAGGGTGTGTTCACCTCTCAATGCGTAGATAAAATGATACTTAACCACCTTCCCTCAACTTATTCTGATTTTCTATTTATCATACTTAATGCTGTTAGCTGATCCCTATAAATGCTCCGAGTTCACTGTGTGTGTGTGTAGATCCACTCGCCCTGCCCTTCCTGCTCCTGTGTTACTAAAAAAACTTTCCCATTATTGTCAGAAATAAAAGTCTCTTAGAGCTGGGAATTCAAGACACTCACTTCTCTCTCTCCTCCTCCCTCTTGCTTCCTCTCTCTCTTTCTTTTTTCCAGAAACTTTTAACAGTAACTTTTTGGCACCTCTGTGTGCAAGGCACTGTCCTGGGACGCATGGAAACGCAGTGTCAGGAAACGCTGCGAGGGAGTGGACACTCGGAGCTCGGGTGTGTGGGTCCCGGACGAGGCTGCGCGGCACAGAAGGTGCTGGCCTGTTTACTCAGCTGTGCCCGGCCCCACGGGGACGCGAGCTCAGAACTCTCCATCCCTCGTCCTGGCCGTGCTGTGTCCAGTGACATGGAAATGAGCACGGCCCACAGCGACAGGAATGTGATGACAAACTGGAAACCTGCAAAGATTTTATAAGCAAAATTCACTGGCACTTTCCCAAGACTCAGAGGTGCTTTCTCAGCCTGCTGAGTCATCCAAGGGAAAGTTAGATAAAAACCGAAACAGACTTACGCAGCTTACCCAAATATACATGTGGGCCTCAGTGTCTGAAATAGAATCAGAGAACTGGCTTTCTTAGTTGGCTCATTCTTTTAACACTTCTCTACAATATGGGGGACCTTAGACAATGAACGTAGTATTTTTATTTTTTGGCCTGGAAAAGGGTCCCAGGACTTCCTGGTTTTCTCCCTGGCTTGACTTTCATCAGAATGTGCAGAGCGAGGCCCCAAGGGTCCTCTTCATGGAAAGCACCACAGCCTGGAAGGGGGGCCAGGAACAGGACACGTTTTTAAAGCTGAAGTTTGGAACTCTGTGTTTTGAAAGCCCTGCAGAACTGGCCACATCTGTAATTTGTTGTAACTACAATTAGGCAGAGCTACAGCTCCACGATGAAATAAACACAATCTAAAGTCGTCAGCAGCCCAACTGGTCGACGCTGCCTGGTCGCCCACGAGAGGCAGGACTGGTTCTTCCTCCAGCCAACCCAAGAAGGGATAAAACTCAGTTATCTGCAAAATCGTGACTCTAGAGTCCTTAAGAACTCTGTCACTCTTACTCCCCAACACAGGACAGTTAGGAAGTTGTGTCTCCATCTGAGGGATGTTTCCAGGAGAGGTTTGGTTTTACACTCTTCCATCAATCTGTGCACCCCTGCCAGGGGTTACAGAGCAGGTTGGCGGAGCTGGGAGAGGTCTGAGACCGTGGAACTGCCACGCAATCGCATGGTGATGGATCCACAGGAGCCTCTTACCACCTGCTCCCTGACACAACCGACTCTGCACCCAGGGACCAAGTCTGGGGTCCCTGCTCACGCTACAGTCAGCCAAGGTGGTGCCTGACACAGGAATGTTGTGGGAGAGGGCCATCGGTCACTACGATGTCAGGTGGCACGGTGGTGATGCTGAATTCCACATGCAGAGAGGCCGCCCCAGCCTCAGGGAAGTCCCTCCTCCACGGAAGCTACCGGGCAGCTTTCTGAAGGATGGTTCCAGAGCGCTACAAGTCTCTGGCTGCTTCGGCGTCTCTCCCACCACCTTGCAGAACAGATGGTCAGATTCCACTGGAGAAAGGAGGACATTAAGCCGGGGAGCTTTCCTTTTTCAAATGGTGTTAAAGAAACTCCACATTAATAGCTGTATCTTTTTTTTCTCCAGAATGACCCATTACTATGATTTTGCCTTAAAGTAGATGGGGAGGAGTTGGCCCATCTTGTGTTTAATGGTCCTCTGAGACATCAGCAACTCTGCTGAGACAGTTAGTGTCAGATTTCTTTGGATTGGAAGTCAGGGATTTCCGAAGGGATTTTTTTCTGCATTTGTGGTTGGCTCTAGAAGTAAATTCCACTGGAGGATTCTGGCAGAGCACCCATCCTGTTAATTGTGAAATAACTGAAAACTCCCCTCCTGATCAGGGCATTGGGAAGGATTTCTTTCCTGGGTGGTTATCATTAAGTATTTCCTTAAGCACCAGTTATGGGGTCTGCTACACAGATGACGGACGGAATCCCAGCCTGGCATGTTAGTGGACGGGATGTGTCGGGGGGAGGTGTGGGGTGAGAGCCACAGGTTTCCTTCTTGCCTGCAGAAAATGTTTTAATAGGAGCAAGTTTTACTTAAATACAATTTATGTAGCATTTTGCCCTGAAGGATTTAAATTTCTTCTCGACCTTGTAAATACCTAAACAGAATTTTTTTACAGTTTCTTTCCATTAATTTCTTCACTATTAATACGTAATTTTTAAAAAAGAAAAAATTGTTTATGATTTCCTAATGTGGACATTAGTTTATGTATTTAATGTGGATAGTCATTTATATAAAATAAAGTATGCTTCCTTATAACACAGTTTGCTAAAAAGAACCTTCCTTTCAAATAATTAGCTTACTTTTTAAAAAATATTTGTTAGTAGACTTAGGAAGCTTATCTAAACTTCTGCAATATGTATTGCTTCTTTTTTTTTTTTTAAGGTGTGCTTTTTTGGTGAGGAAGATTGGCCCTGAGCTAATATCTGTTGCCAATCTTCCGCTTTTCTTATTTTTTCTTTTTCTCCAAAGCCCCAGGACATACTTGTATATCCCATTCTAGCTCTGCTATATGGGATGCTGCCACAGTATGGCTTGATGAGCAGTGCGTAGGTCCACACCCAGGATCTAAACCGGCGAAACCCCAGGCTGCCAAAGCAGAGTGCGCCAAGTTAACCACTTGGCCACTCGGCCAGCCCGTGTAATGCTTCTAAGGAACTCCTTCTCAGTGTCTTCCACCTCACGCTATGTTTGTTCATGTACATCTCCTGGTAGCCACACACCTGTCAGATCAGGGTCCCCGGGAACAGCACCTGTGCAGCGCCCACTGGGTGCCTTCCACACCAGAAAGAGCCCTTCACACAACAAACAGCCAATAAATTGTGAGGTTAACATAAGGAAAATTATGAAAGCTTAGAAACGGGTAGGCAACCTCAGGATTTCTATCTGAGCATAGAAAGTCTTGACTTGCATCAGTTGTTCATAAAAACATTGTTTCCCAATCTTATGTCTTCTTTGGGCCCCATTTAAAGTGAGTTGGCAGTTTCTGGGTACAGAGGACAGTCCATGGGTGGCGGTGGCCTCGAGGGGCTGGTGGGGAGGAAAGCCAGCCCAGGCTGCAGGGTGGCTGCATGTGTCCTATCAACTCATGACCTTCCCTACACCCCGAGTCACATGTTCCCAGGACTCCTCAACCAACAGAATAGAGTTTTAGGAGGACCACCAAAACGACGTGTGTGGAATTACACAGTCCAAAGCTGGCTACGAGGAGGCATCAGTCACAGCTAACTTTTTATTTCAAAATGCATCCCGTTAACTCTGCTGCCGGGCTGCTAAAAGCCAGGTGCAGTATCGCATCTTGGAGGATGTGAAATGTGGAATGTCCTTGTCTCTGTCTCCAAGATTTCTGCAACATGCTTCAAGCAGGAGACACCAGCCACACTTATGCACCAGGTCCTGTGTTGTTTAGAAATGGCCAGGGTGGCTAGGGGGTGGCATCGTCTGTTGAGTCATTAAATGAATAAGTGGGTGTCCTTCCAGAGATCGAGCGACATTAAGCAGAGTCTATTCCACCAGACTACATTCTATAATTTTTAACTTATTTTTCAGGGAGGACCTTCCTAAAAGACGAGGTGAACTGGAACATAACTGCCTACACGCTAGCAATAATAAGCATGTCATTGCTGACGTCTTTTTTGCCAGGCGCTGTTCTCACGTGTGTCATACCACACAAACACGTGTGACCATTCTGTGAGCTGTCGTTTTGCTCAGCTTCCTTTTACAGGAGAGGAAATGAGCTGTGAAGCCACTTCACCAGCTTTGTACGATTAACCAGCCACGCAGGTAGCAAGGGGCAGAGCCAGGAATCGAACCGCAGCCTGGCTCCAGCACCCAGGCTGTGAAGCTGCACGCCCAACGCCTCTGAGA